TTTTTCTTCTTTGTTGCTGCGCTTGTGTTTCAGCCTTAATTACGATGCGTGCATGACCAAAGCTTTCAAAAAAATTAAACACCAGATTTCAGCCGATAATTCGTGTCCCAGGGTGCAGTGCGCTAGCGTGCCTCGTACAGCGTGCCATGTCCCAGTGTTCAGCGCCACACAGGTCCAGTAATCAGTTATGACGCTGGGACAATGCAACTGGGTTTTGCGATAGGGACTCGTGCTTTCTTAGAACATTTGTGACTGTTCCGACCGTGCGACTGCACTGATCGGCATTCTGTGAGATGCTGAGGTCTGACATCGACATTACGCACGCGACAACGTCGGTTTCTAAGTTTTTATTGACGATTGTTTTCGTGGTACGTCTTGGAAGGTAGATGGAGCCCGTTGTGCAAAATTATAGAAATAGGTTTATGAAATAAGCCCGTTTTGGAAGGGGCTGGAGTGAGTAGCAAGGTGCTTAAAGCTTCAATGCTAAAAAAGCATTGCCATTCATTTCAGCCATTGAAAGCACCACATCTACTCTTTCTTTCGTAGAATACCTCACGCCAGAAGCAGCCATACTAGATCAAAAGAACTGCACGTGGATATTGTTTCTAGACCATCAAGGCAGAGACGCTTTGCTACAAGAGGCACGCTTGTACAGGAAGCTAACGCGTTCACAGAATGTATTCGTGTAATCTGAAGTCAGGAAAGAACGTTGTGAAATGTGGTCTCCTATTATCGCATTCATCAGGATCATGCATAATGCTCATGGCACACCACGCGATCGCATTTTGATTTCCGTGACCTAGAGCACAAGGTCAATTATTATCATATATGCCTACGCTTTCACAATCTTCACACAATGAACACAACAAGTGACAGATGCGTCACTTTAGGAAGAAGCCTTGCGCGGACCCGCACCTTCTTGCATGCGCAATCATGCGAAAGACAAATTTTGCAGCTGGATATCTCTGAGCACAGGCGTGTTAGGAAAATCTTTCTGCTGTAAATGAGTAAAAACACCAATGCCTACAGTTTTTCAATATAAACATGCCACTTTACTGCTGCGAGGAAAAAGAAAATTATGAGTTATATAGTTAATTGGGCTGCTGACAGTGATAATTATCACCTTTCTGTCCCCTTTGCCGCTGACCTTATTTGAATAAGTGCCTTTCATGTGCCCTCAAGCACCTAATTTTAAAGAACTCATAAAGCTTAGCTTTGAGCATCTGGTACATATATACGTTCTAGTGAAGGAAAGTAAGACACACAGAAGTCGGCACCCTTTACTACGAGATCCGACTGTTCTTACTCTGCAGCTTCGTCCTTCTCTTCTACATCCCACTAGACTAGGCCGCGCCCATGTCCGAGCACCACTACATCTTCAACACACTTGGCCACGCTTTGAATGGCAAGGGGAGCTAAAAAATGAATTTTGGTGGGCGACATTGGCAGCGTGGCAGTGTTCGTTGAAGACCAGCCCACCATGTACCTTCGTCACCAGCGGCAATGTCTCTCACGGGCGGTGTTAGTTGTTCTTTTGGGGTCTTTCTGCGCTTCGCTTGGCTGCCAAACAATTGTGTGGATGACCTTGAGAACGCCTCGGCGGTCTTTGTTTAGTACGCCCTAAAGTGCCTTGCAGAAGTGCCAAAGACTGTGGTGGCCGACACTGGCTGGCTCACTGTGGCTGCAGCTCTCAGTCATGCTGCGATTTGGTTTCACGTTATTCTTGAGAGGAAGACTTGCTACATTGTGAAGGCCAGCCTGGCCATGCTGCGCCTGGGTGCGGGACCTTGCCATAAGTGTGTGAGTGGGTGCAAACTGGCTGCATCGCATTCAGTCCTGGTCATGCAGAGACGTCAGAAGAACACACATAGTTGCGCCTCGCGGCCGACATGGGCTGCGTTGCAAAGAAACCGGCAGATGTCTCATACTAGCAGAAGATCGGTGCAGCGGTATCCGAGGGGGCTTCATGAGTGGCGTGGTTTCTCGGTGCTCTCAAAAAGAGCTAAATTCAAAAAGAGCTAAATCTCAACAAGAGCTAAATTTTCTGCAGCGCGTGCTGTGAAGCATTGGTATAAAATTGGTAATTTGTAACCAGATCCAACAAGGTTTTCTTGACAGTTGCTGTGCCACACGTGTACGGTTTTGTCATGTGTGCGGCGTCACGTGGAATGAGCTATATAATGTGTTGTATGGGTACGCAAGGAACAAAAGTTGGGAGTTAGCGCTCACACTATAGTTTGTTTTTTCCCTTTCTTGACTGCATAGTATCGTTACTCTACGCTCAAACTGAGCTGCGTTAAACAATATCATTTTATCCGGCGAGGCGCCCCGCCGCGGTGGTCTAGTTGCTAAGGTATTCGGCTGCTGACCCGCAGGTCACGAGATCAAATTGCGGCTGCGGCAAATGCATTTTCAATGGAGGCAAAATTTCTGTAGGCCCGTGTGCTCAAATTTGAGCGCACTTTCGAAAATTCCATGTGTTAAAAATTTTCGGAGACCTACACTACGGCGTCTCTCATCAACATTGGTGGTTTTTGGATGATAAACACCACGTATATATCTATCTATCCGGAAAGGTGTTCCGCCGTGACGCCATCAGCAGCGTTGCAAGGCACAGCAATAGAGTCAGAATGGTTCCTAGTGGATGCGTCGTCAGTATGGCATCCGTATATAGCGACGGCCGTCTTGAATTTTGGTCACTATCTGTGACGTACATGAGTCGGGGATTGATGAAGAGTCTAGAAGCTCAAACCGCGAGCTGCAGATCAAAGCTGCAGCCTCAAGGTAGAACTGCTCTTGAGCCCCATCTTCGGTAGTGGTCAAATTGGACTAAGTGGTGGCTGAGAAGTGGGAGGGAGGCCGGCCAAAACCACCATCCATCTTGAAGATCCATTCTGCCCAGGATTGCTGCCGCATGCCCTCATACGTGTGCCATGCCGCGGCACATTTTGACGACTGTCTATGGCTACGCAACACATCACTGTTATGTCCATGCCTTGCGCACTCGTACAGCGTTTATGGTTGCTACCCAATCGCCGGCGTCATCCTGGAAGCCACGGAATGGCGGTAGTTCACAGGCAATCAGCGATGGTGACTCAGCCGCCGAAACTTCGAAGCTTGTCGACGCCAAGCGGTCTAGTTGCTCTGGGAACTCCGTGATGGAACGCCGAAACTCACGGTGGTTCTCGGGTGAGCTGGATTCAAAGTGATGTGCGGCGGCTACACCAAGCTAGGCAATGAGAGCATACAATTCGGACGAGGCTGCGGGTAAGAGCTGGACGCTCAACGCTATTAGGACCCTGGTCTTGATGCGGAGTTGCGTGATGGTATGCTCCAGCTCCGCTGCGCTTTCACGTTATCAGCAGAAAGAGCCAAGGCCCACATCTGTTGAGGGTACAACAACTTTGGTAATTAAGGTAGAACAATTCATGGCCAAGGATGCGTGGACAGCGTCTCTCAGAAGCCCACCTGTGGTTGGAATCGTGGACACGAAATTCATGTCACTGGATGCGTCAAAGGTGTTCTTAGGCAAGTGGAACCCATGTGATGTGTCGTGACCTGGTACTGTGGCGTACGTGAAGCGGTGCTGCGCCGCCGAGTAGGCCTCGACGCAGTACACGGAGATACTTGGAGCGCCGACAGGTTGCCAGGTATCGAGGACGCATGTACGCCATTCCTAGGTGAGAGCCGGTTCGCACGGTTTCCTCGACGTATCGCGTCACAAAACAAGTTCCCGGGAACCACAATGGAGGCCTGGACACCGTCCCCTGGTGGTGGGGTCCATACTTCTCGCGATGGTCGCCTTGTGGGCTCCAGCAGCCAAGAAGCGTGACAGCGTCTCTCTAGAATGCGCGTTACCTCAAGCGGAAAACTAAGGTTCCCCAAAGCCTTTCAACAACTGCGTCATCGTAGGGAGAACAGGGACACAAGAGACAGCACCTTTTGCTACAGGCCGGCTGGTCTTATTCTCCAGCTTCATTGTTCTACGTCACGTTAGCCCAGACCGCGCCCCTGCCCACACGCCACCACATCTCCATTGCAACGTACCATATACGGTGAATGACGGCGATGCTAACGCTCCGGTTAAAATCGACGCCGGCTGCAGAATCCAGCCTACGGTATCATTATAACTGCTATCGCAATAAAAGACAATGCCAGGACCACTTTATAAAGATGCTGTTATCAGTAGAGCTCGCTAAAGAACATGCAAAACAGTCCGCCATCTGGCGACTGCAGACTCGACTTTTTTACCATAGGTTTTAGGTCTCTCTCTGAACCCTTTCGGTGTTTTTCTGTATGCTCCTATCACTTCCTTCACCTTTTGTGAACCATGGTGCGCCTGCTGTCGGTGCACAAATGGAGCGCAATTTGTTGGCGTCTCTTCCTGTCGTACTCATTACTGTACAGGTGCACACATACTTATTGCCAATCCCGGATCATAAAGGCCACTGGTCCGTGCAGCCCACCCGCTGAAAAATACACTCACGATACAGCCATGAAAGCATGATGTATTGGCCTTTGCAGCACGGTGAATACGTTATAAATATATATAGCAGAGTAAACAGATATATGCTCGTAGTATAAGTTAATTTTCACAAAACAGCCTGATTTTGCATGTACAGAGCTGGCTTCGATAACAACTGCAGATTTTCTTATAATTTTTTCATCGAGCACCAGCCACTGGATGGGCCAGTTTTTGTCCTAATGTGGCAGTCATGGCTGAAAGGAATAGATATCTAGATTACGAAATACACCAAAGACCCTCTACTTGTTGATTGGGGGCATTGTTGGAGATGCTGCCTCATCAAATGGGCAGCGTCACCTGGCGGCCTAAAATAACACGCCGCTGCAAATAACTATTCTGCAATGTCTGTGTCCTAATGCAAGCACTGTCTCCTCGGGGCACAACTGTTGATTCCTGCATCGATATTCGCCGCAACCACATGGCTGATATTTGTTCACACAGTGTGCCGTCAAGTGAATGTATATGTCTGCCACAGGGCGACGCTGGATTCGTAGGAGCGCCTGGCCGACCTGGTGATCCTGGGAGTCCAGGAGAAGCTGGGAACCCAGGGCCACAAGGACCAGCTGGAGCACCGGGCAACAAAGTGAGCCTTTTTGCCATCCAAGGGCAAGACCTACCAGTGCAAAGGGGCTCTTATGATACTTCTCTCAACGTCCGGATACAAAAAATCTATTAATTCTAGACTAATATTGGAAGCATAATGGCAATAATAAGACCAAAAAACAAATCAATACTGAGACGATAGCGAAACATACATACATCACTGTATATGAATCTAAAGAACACGACTAAACGAAGAGTGACAGAACGGAATATGCATTATGCAAACACAAAGAGAGACAGAAAGGAATATGCATTACAAAGGCCTATAGGCTTGTGCACGTGACGTATGTTTATATATATATATATATATATATATATATATATATATATATATATATATATATATATATATATATATATATATATATATATAATAATATATATATATATATATATATATGATATCTAACAGACAGTAATGCCAAGAAATGTACAGGGGAAGTTATTAGAACCAGTGGAATGTACAAAAGAAAGAAAAGTGGATGAAAAAATAACCAGCCGTGAGCAGGAATCGAACGTACGACCTTCGAATAACGCGTTCGAACGCATCGAATGGCGGAATGGCGTTGTTCTTGTTGCTTCTTGATGAGCCGTGTTATAGGCGTATGTGACATACGGCAAGATCTCGTCCCAGTTTTTATGCTCTGCATCGACGTACATGCAGAGCATATCCGCAAGTGTCTTGTTGAGACGCTCCGTAAGACCATTCGCTTCCGGATGATACGCCGTTGTTCGCCGGTGGGATGTGCCACTAAGTCTTAAATCCGTCTGTAATAGTTCAGCTGCGAATGCAGTTCCCCTGTCAGTTATTACCAATGATGGAGCGCCATGCCTAAGCACCGCATTCTCCACGAAATTCGGGCTGCTTCACTTCCCGTGCCCTCTTTAGAGCCTTGTTTTCGGCGTAACGAGTGAGGTAGTCGGTGGCTACTATAATCCATGTGCGACCTGCAGATGAGGTGGGAAATGGGCCCAAAAGATCCATTCTGACTTGAGCGAATGGAGTAACAAGCACATAATTAGGATGGAGAAGGCCTGCTGGTTTGACGGGTGGGACTTTCTGCGCTGGCAATCAAGGTACCTCCAAACATAGTGATGAACGTTCGCCGTTAGTCTTGGCCAGCAGTATGTTTGCCTCACTCTGCACAGCGTACGCTTGTAATTCAAGTGGCCAGATGTTGGTTCATCGTGGCATGCCTGTAATACTTCAGTCCTTAGAAATGTTGGCACGACAAGTAAGCAGTCGTTTCCGTTTGACTTGAAATTCATCTTATACAGAACGTCGTTTTGCAAGCAAAATGACCAAAGCCCTCACGCAAGCAGTCTAGGTACAGCTATAGTGTGACCCTCCGAAAATAAAAAAAGTTGGTTCTAGTTCCGGGTAGTCTCGTTGCAGCTGTGCGACAGTAGCCGTGTTTGCAACTCCAACATAGGCTGTATCGTCCTCTTTTCCCGTTGCAGGTTCGTATGGCGCACCAGAAAGGCAATCGACGTCTGAATGTTGCTTCCCCGATCTGTAGACCACCGTCATGTGAAATTCTTGAAGCGTCAGGCTCCAGTGCGCCAATCGTCCTAATAGTCTTTTAAATTCGTCAGCCAGCAGGGGGAGTGATAGTCGCTGACAACAAAAAAATGACGATCATACAGATATGAGCGAAATTTCATAACGGCCCACACTACTGCAAGGTACTCTTTTTCCGTGATGGAATAATTTTCGTTTGCGCGTGAAAGAGTTCTGCTCACGTAAGCAATTACTCGTTCAGCGCCATCCTGCCACTGCATGAGTACAGCTCCTAAGCTGACATTGCTAGCGTTGGTGCACACTGTTGTCGAGACGTCATCATCAAAGTGTGCAAGGACAGGTGTATTCTGAAGGTGTTGACACAGCTCGTCGAAAGGTTTTCGCTGTGCTTCATTGCATACGAATGCGACATCTTTCTGGGAAGACGGGTCAACGGCGAAGCAATGCGCGAGAAGTACCTTAAATTCAAAAAGGCCATCAGTTGTCAGGAAAGCTGTTTTTTCCCGGTGTCTTTCATCGACTTCTATCTGCCAATACCCACTCCTTAAATGCATCGACGAGAAATAACGCACATGCTGTAGTCGATAGACTAAATCGTCCACACGCGGAAGTGGTTAGATGTCTTTTGTGTCAAATGATTGAGCTTGCGGTAATCTACGCAGAAACGTAGGGTGCCGTCTTTTTTCTTCACTAATACAACTGGCGAAGCCCAAGGGCTTTTCGACGGCTGGATAACGTCATCTTCAAGCTTCAGTCGCAACTGGTTTTCGACGGCATCACGTTTCCGCGGAGCTACCCGGTAGGGGTTTTGCCTTTAGGGTCTGGTCTTGTCGTCCATTATAATTCGATGTTTCGTCAGTGGCGCTTGATGGACCCTGGACGTCAAAGAGAAACAATCTTCAAAATGGGTAATAGGCTGCAGAAAACTTTGCTTCTGCGCCGGCAGCAAACTTGGGCCAATTTCAAGAGATAAAGGGACGGGGGGCAGATCAATTGAACTATCTTTCTCAAGAGTTTGGCACTCTTATCTCGGCGAGCTCTTCCATGTACGTGACTGCCATGGCCCTCGTCACGACTGCCATGTCGGCGTTCAGAGCTGAAGTTCGTAACAAGGACGTGCGTGTGTCCGCATATTATGCTCACATCGCCTCTTGCGATGGATAAACCATGGCTGCATGGCAGTGTTGAAATTTGCTCGGTGATGTTTTAAGAATTCCTTGACGTGTCACAGGTCACAGCCACGAGTGCACTCGACCGCGGCGGGATGGTCACGTCGTCGTTGAAGACGTGCAAAGGTTACAACGCTGGTCTCTACAGGGCCCATGCGAAACTTGACCTGGGACCATTGAAAGCGTACACGATCTCTGAGGAATGTTGATAACGGCTCCATACTTACACAGAAAGTACATGCCGAAAATCAGGTCTTTGCAGCACTCCGATAAAATTACGAAAGTAGCGACGAAATCTGAACAACCGATATTATTTCGAGCAGTACAATTGCCCGCCAGCGTCACCAATTGACTCCCTGTGGTTTTTATGTTCGGGCCCGTTCGTATTGTTCTGACTTTCTTTAGGCAGTCGGCGAGTTTACGGCTGATAATAGAGAAGTCCGCGCCAGTATCTACCAGCGCTGTTACCGGGCATCCGTCTATACAAATGTGTAAATTGATGCTTACGATTTCCGTTGATGTCGGTGGCGTCGTATCGCCCTTGGTATTGTCTGGCGTACGATCCATGGTATCATCTGTCATACCGTGTTGTAGTGAAGATATTGGGGGTGTGATGGCATCTCGACGGGAGGCAACCTTCCCCCAAAGGTCGCTGCTGTTAGTTTCCCCGAAGAGGGCTAGGAGATCTGCCCCGGGTCATCTCGGCGTAACTGCACTGGTGCGTTGAGTTAGGTGCAGGTGAAGGAGAGCGGGATTGACGATACGGCACATCAGGTTGCTGTGCTTGCGGGCCTGCACAGCTGTCCCGGCGGGTATCGAAATAAGCACGAGGGGAGGCTTGTAGAAGTTTTCATGTCTATGGTCACAGTATGGGCAAATGTGGAAAACGTGGCCGGCTTCTCCGCAACGAAAGCAAAGTGGTCAACGGTCACCGGTGCGCCACAAGTCCGTCTTACGAATGAATACTCGACTGGTGGGCATTCTTCGCGACCAAGATGCCGATGTCGGCAAAGTGTACATCGGCGAAGTTTGCATACGTACGTTAGACTGTGGATACGGCAGCGACGGATTGGAAGCTGGTGCCCACGGCTTGTTGTAAGGCCCTTCGCTGACGTCGTGATCAGCGAATGTTATCGTGTTGTACGTCACTGGAGTGGTTCGACCAACGGCCTGTGCGCAGCTTACACACCGTTGGTCTGAAATTGATTCGGGCGACGAAAATGCCTGGGGGAGTTCTTGCCGCACAACTTCTGCAACGCAAGCCACGGTATTTTCTTGCGGAGTCACAACGAGGTTTCGGATCTCCTCACGAACGACCTCACGAATGAGCTGACGCAGAGAACACTCACTGCTGGCAGTCAAAGCAGAGAGGCTGGGAGATGTGTTGTTTGGTTGGTTGTGGTATCGGCGCCGTTGCTGCAGTGCTCACTCGATTATTGTAGCCTCTTTGATAAATTCTGCAACGCTTGTTGATGGGTTGCGTAGGAGACCTGCAAAGAGCTCTTCTTTCACGCCCCTCATCATATGTCGGAGTTTTTTACCTTCAGGCATCTCTGGGTCAGCCCGCCCGAATAGGCGGGTGGCGTCCTCCGCAAACATGGCGACGCTCTCGTTTGATTTTTGTATTCGTGCCTCAATGAGCTGCAGAGCAGAATCCCGGTGGTCGGTGTTCGCAAATCTCTCAAGAATTTGCTGCCGAAATTCATCCCACAAAGACAGCGTTGAATCGTGGTTCTCCTACCACGTACTAGCGCTGCCTGCCAAATCAAAGTAGACGCGCGATAGCTTTCGTTCAGTGGGCCAGTGGTTGGCCTTGGTGACTCACTCATACTGGGCTAACCAGTCCTCAACGTCTTCATAGACCTAACCGTGAAAGGTCTCAGGAATTTGAGGCTGCTAACACTAAGCTGTGAAGACCCTCCAGTAGCCATTTCTCCAGGCACGGTGTGTTCGAGGGGGATTGCTTCGGGACTAAGGCCTCGCTGTCGGCGACTGTGTCGGTGGACAGGAGTATCCACTGTAGGAATGGGTTGCTATGGTAGACTCAAAGTGCAAGGACGCCGAGGTGTCCCAAGCATCAGTTGGAGAAGACCAGCACCTCCACCAGTGTCGTGACGTGAAAATAACAGCATACGGGACGACGGTGCGACCACGAAAAACAAGTTCTGTAATAACAGAACAAAAGAGCAGCCGCTTCGACATCATCTTGCTCGGAGCAACTGTGGGTGCTGTCTGTCCCCGCTCATCACATCTTCGTCCTCTGTCTTCTTGCCCGGCATTTAGCTGTGA